GAGATCCAGGACAGGCTCCAAAACTAGAGAAAGCCTGTCTCAGAAAAAAAAAAATTTATCATCCTACGTGTATGGGTGTTTTGCCTGTGTGTATGTGCACTGTGTGTATGTGCACCGTGTGTATGCCTGGTGCCTGAGGCCAGAAGAGGGCATCAGATCCTCTAGAACTGGAGTTACAGGTGGTTGTAGGTCACCATGTGAGTGCTAGGAGTTGAACCCAGGGTGCTCTGGAAAGAGAAGCCAGTGCTCTTAACCATTGAGAGCTGGCTCTCCAGCCTTGAATGGAACCATCCCCTGAACATGGGATCTTTGACTATGTAAGGGGAGCAGGATTCCTCTGCTTATTACATATTTACTGTGTGTGTGTGTGTGTGCGCGCGCGCGCGCGCGCGCGCGCTCTCTCCAGAGTGTTTGCCAAAGCAGGCGATGGAGGTCAGAGGACAAGGTGCAGGAATTGGTTGGTTCTTTCCTTCCCAAGGATGGGACTCGGGGATCAGTCTTGGCAGCAAGCACCTTTGCCTGCTGAGCCATTTCCCCAGTCCATCTCTCTGCCTCCTGACGGCAGATACAGTGTGACCAGCCTCTTCAAGCTCCTGCTATACCTTGACCTCCCTGCCAGGATGGACTGTGACCAAGAACTGCGACCAAAATAAACCGTGTCTCCCTTCAGTTGCCTCAACCAACTTTTATTCGACTGGGAACAGTTGGCAACACGGCTGCTTATCTTCTTGCAGTCTGAGCTGGAGAAGGGAAACCAAGGCAGGAGGGTAGATGGGAGACATGGAGGAATTCAGGGAGAGGTGAGGAAGAGGGCAGAAGGGCAGGGCAGGGTGCGTGCACAGGTGGATTCTGGGGAGGCACACCCCCTCACAGAGGCACCCTCTGGCCTGACTTGGTGGCCGCAGGAACATCGAGGAAAGACCACAGGTCTGAGACATTTCAGTCCTTCCTGTCTTAAGGCGGCTGCCAGGAGGTCACTGTGGAGAGAGAGGGGGATGGTCAGCTTGTGGGCAGAGGAAGGGGGACTATAAAAGGGGAAGAAGCACATCCAGGCATGGTGGCACATTCCTGCGGTCGCAGCAACCTCCTACCCCAGCCTCTCAAGTGCTGCTTTCACAGATGAGCCACTGTGCGCAGGGCTGAGGTGAAACTGACCAGATTCCTGGTGCAAAGCATGCTGGGAGTGGGCATCTAGTCCATGGGGTTTGGGAGGTGATACTAAGTTCCAGACCAAGGTACAGGAACTAATACAAGGTGGAGAGGATGTGGAGTGAGAAGCTAGGACTCCGCTCTGGCTGGGCCAGCCAGAGCTGCCCAGTAGTAGAGGCTGAGTTTGGAGCACACAAGGAAATGACAGGAAAACAAAATCAAAACAGCCTCGGCTCCACTGTGAGTTCAAGTTCAAGCCAGCTCAGCCAACCAGACAGAATTGACTCAAATAAAAAAAATAATAGCCAGGCGGTGGTGGCACATGCCTTTAATCCCAGCACTCGGGAGGCAGAGGCAGGCGGATCTCTGTGAGTTCGAGGCCAGCCTGGTCTCCAAAGCGAGTTCCAGGAAAGGCGCAAAGCTACACAGAGAAACCCTGTCTCGAAAAACCAAAAAAAAAAAAAAAAGTAGCTCAGTGGTGGAGCTCCTGCTGAGAACCCACAATGAGGGGCTGGGGATGTGGCTCAGTGGCAGAGCCCCTGCCTAGAATCCCCCAGTGAGGGGCTGGGGATGTGGCTCAGTGGCAGAGCCCCTGCCTAGAATCCCCCAGTGAGGGCTGGGGTGTGGCTCAGTGGTAGAGCCCCTGCCTAGCATTGTGTGAGGCAGAGAGAGCTCAACTCCCAGTACAAGGGGGAGAAAAAAAACAAACAAAACAAAAAAACCAGCTTGGCAGTGGTGGTTCACACTACCAGCACTACAAAGAGAGTTCTAGGTCAGCCTGGTCTACAAATCAAATTGCAGGACAGCCAGGGCTATTACAGAGAAACCCCATCTTGAAAGACCAAAATAAATAAATGTATAAATGTATAAAATCCAACTGCGAACGGCTGTGACTAGGAACAGGACTGCATTCCAGAACACACTGGATTGCACACTAGTCCCTGGGCTGTTCCTACACGGTCCAGTGCACCAGAAAACTGCTTCTGTCAAAGGAACAAAGGTGACCAGGGCCAGACTGCCAGGTCCTTAGCAGCATTTTCTTACTGTTAGATTCATTCATTGTATGTGTTGGTGTTTTGCCTGTCAGGACCCGAGTGCTCGGTGCCCATGGAGGTCCGAAGAGTGCGCTGGGTTCCCTGGAACTGGAGTGAGGAACCGTGAGCCGCCATGTGGTGCTGGGACTCGAACCTAGGTCCTCGGCAAGCGCAACAAGTGCTCTTAACCCAAACCATCTCTACGTCCCTGGCAGCCTTTTGAATTTAAAGACTGTCTCACATAGCCCTCCATGGCAGCAAACTCAGTGTAGCCAAGGATAACCTTGAACTCTTGATCCTTCTGGCCCTACCTCCAAAATGCTGGGATCACAGGCCTGCCCACAAGGCCAACTCTTCTGCTTTATGTTTATTTTGTTTTGTTTTTTAATGTGTATGCAGTGTTTGTCTGCATGTATGTCTGAGAACATTGTGTGTGCAGTGCCCTCAGAGACCAGAAGAGGACATCGGATTCCCTGGGACTGGAGTTACAGGTGATTATGACATGGTCTCATGAGGCCCAGCCTGGCTCCCAACTCATGGCAATCCTTCTGCCTCAGCCTTGGAAGTGCTCATTCCTGCCTTCCCCCGTGCTGGGGATTTTCAGGGGGAGTCGTATCACCCAGTTTCTAGAGCGCTGAAGCTGGAACTCTGGGCCTCCTGCGTGGCGGGCAATCACGCCACCAACCGAGCCACATCCTCAACCACAGCCTGACTTCCTGCAGCACCTTCCACTCCAGGATCAAGAAGGCCGCTCAAGGAAAGCCCCTCCCCCCATCACCTCCACGGTTCCACTCTGCAACCCCTCAGCTATGCTTCCTAAGCCCCACCCCCACCCACCCCACCCCACCCACCCCACCCCCGCTCCAGGGGCCCCTGGGATGTGGCCATTTCCCACTCTGCACTCGGAGAGTCCATACACAGGGCAGGATACAACACCCCAGGGTGGCACCCCCACCCCTCCCAGCAGCCCCCATACCCCTGCCTCCAGGGTTCACTGGCACTGAGCCAGGGCAGCTTTGATGGCGGTCACCAGTTTCCGAAACTTGCTTTCTGTATCCACGTAGCCATCACCTCTCTGAAGAGAAGAGAGGAGAGAGCTGAGCTGGGCCCCAGACACCAACCTAGGCCCTAAGCCGTGTGCCCCCGCCCCCCGATGAGGCAGGACACTGACTTACCTTCTTGGAGTGAACCAACTTCCCGGCTACAGTCACTTCAAAGAACCCGGTGACCTGGGGAGTCCCCTCGCCACACTGAGGAAAGAAGGCGTGGGGGGGGGGGGGGGGCTGAAATGTCCTCTCAGGACACCCTACCCGCCATGTCCCAAGAGTGTAAGTCAAAAGGACAGAGGATTGTCCTAACCCATCCCCATTCACCCCCAGTCCCAAGTGACAGAAAAGGGACCAGTGTGATTCCGTCCCCATTCCAAGACTCACAATGTCCAGGCATCCGGGGAACTCATGTTCTAGCTTCTCCTTGAGCTGGAGATACTGAAAACAGGGTATGGGAGGGAGTTGTTGGGGGCCGCATAGCCAGGCCGGGCAAATCCTCCCCGTGGTATACCCACCCTGGCCTTCAAGGCACTCCCGAGAAACCCCACTCACCTTGGGCTTGTAGCCTCAAGCTCCACTGGTGGGGAGAGCCAGGGTTGTTGCGGTCCACCAGGGCAGCATGGGTCCAGGCCGGCACGGGTGTCCAAGTGAGCCGGGCAACAGGACGAGATGAAGTGGGCGGGGG